GGTTGGAGGCCATTGCTACTAGTAACAAGAAGCTACTAGGTTGGAGGCCATCGCTACTAGAGTGGAGGCCATTACTGCTAGTAACAAGAAGCTAGTAGGTTGGAGGCTAGTAACAAGAAACTACTAGGTTGGAGGCCATCGTTACCAGGGTGGAGGCCATTACTGCTAGTAACAAGAAGCTACCAGGTTGGAGGCCATCGCTATTAGGTTGGAGGCCATCGCTACCAGTAACAAGAAGCTACTAGGTTGGAGGCCATCGCTATTAGGTTGGAGGCCACTACTGCTAGTAACAAGAAGCTACTAGGTTGGAGGCCATCTCTACTGGGGTGGAAGCCATTACTACCAGTAACAAGAAGCTACTAGGTTGGAGGCCATCGCTATTTGGTTGGAGGCCCTTACTGCTAGCAACAAGAAGCTATTAGGTTGGAGGCCATCGCTATTAGGTTGGAGGCCATCGCTATTAGGTTGGAGGCCATTGCTACTATAGTAACAAGAAGCTACTAGGTTGGAGGCCATCGCTACTAGGGTGGAGGCCATTACTGCTAGTAACAAGAAGCTACTAGGACTACTACTAGTAACAAGAATCTTTTAGGTTGGAGGCATCGCTATTAGGTTGGAAGCCATTGCTACTAGTAACAAGAAGCTACTAGGTTGGAGGTCATCGCTACTAGGGTGGAGGCGATTACTGCTAACAGCAAGAAGCTACTAGGTTGGAGGTCATCGCTACTAGGGTGGAGGCCATTACTGCTACTAACAAGAAGCTACTAGGTTGGAGGCCATGGCTATTAGGTTGGAGGCCATTGCTACTATTGTAACAAGAAGCTACTAGGTTGGAGGCCATCGCTACTAGGGTGGAGGCCATTACTGCTACTAACAAGAAGCTACTAGGTTGGAGGCCGTGGCTATTAGGTTGGAGGCCATTGCTACTAGTAACAAGAAGCTACTAGGTTGGAGGCCATCGTTACCAGGGTGGAGCCCATTACTGCTAGTAACAAGAAGCTACCAGGTTGGAGGCCATCGCTATTAGGTTGGGGGCCATCGCTACTAGTAACAAGGAGCTACTAGGTTGGAGGCCATCGCTACTAGGGTGGAGGCCATTCCTGCTAATAGCAAGAGCAAGAAGCTACAAGGTTGGATGCGATCGCTACTAGGGTGGAGGCCACTACTGCTAGTAACAAGAAGCTACTAGGTTGGAGGCCATCGCTATTGGGTTGGAGGCCATTGCTACTAGTAACAAGAAGCTACTAGGTTGGAGGCCATCGCTACTAGGGTGGAGGCCATTACTGCTAGTAACAAGAAGCTACTAGGTTGGAGGCCATCGCTATTAGGTTGGAGGCCATTGCTACTAGTAACAAGAAGCTACTAGGTTGGAGGCCATCGTTACTAGGCTGGAGGCCATTACTACAAGCAACAAGAAGCTTTCATATCCACGCCCTTTCTCGTTCCAAGGCTCCGAGCGAAAGGAGGAGAAGAAGCGTAGCCGCAGCCGGAAGCGCAGCCGCAGCCGAAAGCGGTGCGCTGCTCTGTCTGTTTTGGGTGTGTCGGTCATTGGGGCGAAGAAGAGCAGTTGAAGTGGATAGTCCTGGATGATGAAGAAAGTGGAGAGAGGTTTTTCTTTTGGAGAAGGTGGGTTTTCTTGACGGGTCAAGATCCATAAAATGGAGCAAAGTAGGTTGTTCACAACTCAAGAGCACACAGAAGAGTACAGAAAACTCATAGATGTGTCCGACGATTTTCTACAGTGGTCCACTGAACTGTGGGAATTTTGTTGTTTGCAACTTTTTCTCGCGCGCCTTTCTCCAGGAGCCGCAGCCGGCGACGGCGCCGGGTGGTGCAGGAAGTGGAGCTCACCACACAAGAGCTGCTTTGATGTACTAGAACAGGGTGGCCAGTTGATTGCCAGTGTCGCAAAACCACAGCAAGACTGCCTGACCATGGACATATATGAACATACACGAATAGCCAAAGTTTGGTTTTGGGATTTGGAACAGAATGCAATCGAATTACATATGTGCCCACCAACATGCACTGCTTCTTTGACTCCGGCCCAAGTTATGTTTCTTCCCCCTTAGAAATCTTATACCAACAAAGGACTTTCCTTTGACAACACCGACGCACATTTGTCATGTGCAGTCGCTCTCGCATTTGACTCCCTTCTGTTTGGTTTCACACTCGGACCGACACCACGGCATGTTTCTTTGGCCAAGGGAGATCCTCATCACAGACCCGGATGGGCAAAAAGTGGAGCCCGTCGCCTTCAACACCTTCGACGAATGTCCCTTCCCTGACGAGATCCGGGACGAGGTGGGACGAGAGTAGCCTGTCTCGGCTACTGTAGCACGGCCTGGTGGGTTTGGGTTTTGGACCGCCCTGAGAGAAGTGTCAGGTCATGTTCCCTGCTATTTTGGGCGGGAATGTGCCGAGTTTCTTTGGGAGGGTTTGGTTGCATAGGACAGAGGTGTCAGACCTTGAAGACAAAGAGGGTGATTTGTCTCCAATCAAGGGTTCCATTCCCATTCATTGAATTGAAGTTGCAATTGGAATTCCTGTTTGTTCTGGCGCATTTGGGCAGATCCACCTAAAAAGGACATTTTGGCTCTCTTGGAGCAGCAGTACTCCTTGGGAGGAAGTTGTTTGGGGAGTGTCAGAATATGAGCAGGCTACAGAGCAGAGGTAAGTACTGTAGTTTTTTAATAGTTTTTTTCCTTTGAACCATATGCGCTGGACATGGACCTTCCTTGTTTCGAGAGTAACATCACACAAATCCAGCACCATGTATGTTGGACACCTCAAATCCGCAGATTTTCACGGGGGCAGGTGAAGCGGTCGGGCTTTGCTAAGCCCAGCCCCATCCAGATGTACTCCTGGCCGCTGGCGGTGCAGGGGAAGGAGAAGTGTGAGTTGAAGGATAGTGTGTGAAGGGAGGGACCCAAACCAAGAGGGACTGCAGGGGAAATGGTGCTTGGGATATGGTGCTTATAGTGTTCTCCAAGGTTTTGAAGGTTCCATTGAATTGGACTGACTGTATGGTGTCACCAACAACTTAGTTTGATTGTCCAAGGTGGTCCCTCCCCAGCTTGTCCACTGATAGCCGCAGGCATGAGCTTGCCAGCTTGTGGTTCCGACCACCTGCTTTGGTCAAGATCTGTAGGCTTCTCAGGGTGAACTCTCCGGGCCTTCCGCAGGACATCATTGGAATTGCCACCACCGGGAGCGGAAAGACCGTGGCCTTCCTCTTCCCGGCCTTCAAGCACCAAGGATGCCATGGGTCTGGGATCGTACTGTACGGTAGGTGGGTTGGGACTTGCCGGCTTGCCTGCCTAGTCGCTTGATCAGCTGGACTCTTGATCTTGGACTGATCATTTCCCCATTCATTCAGCCCAAAGAGCAGTTGACTCTGACTGTGCCACACTAATGACTGGCACTTGCAACTGACGTGCAAATCCTGATATTGCGAAAGGGTGAGTATAGAAAAACAGGACTTAATGTACTTACATATTCCTTTTTGTTCCAATGGCCACGGGTGTCATTCTTGCTGTTAGGTAGCATGGTAGTGGAAAGATATTCAGAAGGCCGCCATATGATCAATCACAGCAAAAGGACCAATACAGCCAATTGCTTGTTCCTACCAATTTGACATCGTTGCAGACGTTGCAGACTGCCAATGAACTTATATATACAATTGAAACTTTGGCTGTATTTTTCCCATGGCTTCTAAGTGTCACCATCCTCAGAAACATTTGAGCAACCTTTTTTGTTAGTATTGTTGATCGGGAGAGTCTCCTCTACCACCCCGAGTCAGCCCATAGCATTCATCCCTTTGAAGACCTTGTTTGGTGCTTGGTGACCGTGTTACCACAGGGAAGTCCGAAAGTCCCCACTGGGATCCTCAGCGGTCCAGATCTTGTATCCATTCTGGTTCTCTCGGTTGGTTTTCAACTCTGAGACAACACAAAAAAAAGAGTGGAAACAGATCGGAGAACATGTTCCAATTTTCAAGGTTTCTTCAGAGATGGTTTCAGGAGATTTCAGGATCCTAACCTCGACGCCCTTGACGCCCAGGTACATCATGGAGACGAATGCCAAGGCGGACAATCCCACTTTGCTTTGCCTGTCTCCTACACGCGAGCTTGCGGTGCAAGTGGAAAATGAGGCCCACAAATTCGGCCCCCTGGTCTGCCAGGTGTGAGCTGCTGTGCAAGGTCTGGGTTTACTGTTACAAGGGCAGATGGGGAAGAACAGATCAAGATTCTTGGAAGCCCCCACAGGCTGAACCCAAAGCCCTTGGTGTGCTGGATGTTGTGCCATTTGGACATGGACGGCAATGGCCGCAACCTATCGCACAACACGGGGGAAGACCTTGGCGGCACACGTGGCAAACGTCGCTTCTATTTCTCAGTTGACCTTTGGGGATTCACCTGAAGGCTCAAACTCTGTTACTCCACCTGCCAATGGATGTTTCGCCCACCATACACACCCCTCACCCACTTTGTGTCAGACATGAAGATCAATCCCCTTGGAACCCGACCGTCACGCATCTTCGACCTGCCTTTCCGGGGTCGTCGGACGCGGTGGCTTCGACGCCCTGGACGCCCGGGACGCCCCAAGTTTTTTGCTTTTATTTTGTTTTAATTCTAATAGCTTCTTGTTACTACTAGTATGGCACCTGTTACTACTAGCGTGGCACGTGTCACTAGTAGCTTAGGCAAACACGCCCCAAGGCAAACACTGTGGCATCGTTACGGTGTGTGTCTATGGAGGCGACGCGGCCGGGAAACGCAAGCTGGGGAGTAGCCGACCGTCACGGACGCATGTGGCCAAGCCGGTGTTGAGGGACTTGGGACCACAGAGCCAAAGTTGATCCCCATATTCCCTCAGGAACAGCGGGAGTTCATGGGAGAATCGTAGTCTGTCGGGTTGTTGGGTGCAGCGCAAAGGTTTAGACATGTTTAATTGAAGCAGCTCTCCAGTCCGGACTCCATGTCTTCGACTTCGCAAGTGTTGTTGATTGTGATTTGTTCAACATGTACGTAAGATGATGGACATGTTGGAACAGTTGAAACAGTTGTTCTCCATGATTGGCCGTTTCGGTGTAGCTCTGTTGGATCATCCATCTGCCAGGTGTGGGCAACAAGAGGGATCAGGGTCGTGACCTGGCCAAGGGCTGCCATTGTTTGGTCGCCACACCAGGCAGTGGGGATGGGGGCTGCCATTGTGAATCTGAAGGATTACAACGCTGAAAACTAACATGGACCCTGAACAGCACTGGTTTGTAGATTTTGTAGGAAATCAGTCTTTCAGGAAGCCGTTCTCAGAATCCATGTTCGTTTTCGGGAATGTAGCCTTTATGTCATTTTGAACTCCGCAGTTATGTGGATGATTTGGTACCCTTTGAACCAGTTGGTTCTCAGTTCAAGCGATGTTTGGGCTGCTTGTTGGAGACTTGAGATCCAGGTTTAAGCGGGCATGCAACACCTGGAGACTTCAGTTCACAAAAGGTTGGAGGAAACACTTCCCTCCTTGCGAGCTGGGCAGAGACCCCCTTGTAGATCAAGGATGATCAAGGATGATCCTTACCACCTGGTGTTTTCCAAGGCGCTTCCACGGACCGTAGGTTGGTCGTCCGGGTGTCTCCGGAGTTCTTTGGCGTCCGGCGCTGCCAGGGCGGCTGAACGATTTCGTCGAAGGGAAGGAGGTGAGCTTGGCCAACGTCTCCAAGTTGGTGGTGGATGAAGCCGATCGAATGCTGGAGCCTGGGCAGGTCAATGACCCAGGTCAGTGACCGAGCTCTGGTCCTTGGGTTGGAGCAAATCATTCTTCCCTACCACTGGGCTCTTGAGGGTTTTTTCCAGAACTTTTGGACATTCTTGGTTCTTCCAACCTTCTCGCTTTGCGAAGCCGCGACCCGGGGAGACATCCACTCGCCTCCATGCATGTTCACGAACTAAATGGTGTTCACCAACTGCATGGGGTTTGTACTAGAATGGTTATATACCCCAAGCAAACCAGGGGATGTCTACTTAGTCTACTTTGACATCGTTTTACTGTTCCCAGAAGCTTTGGAGAGGTCTCCAGTGCTTTCCAGTGCCCTGGACCTGTCCAGTGTTTCCCCGATGTGGGCTGTCGAGGACATGGGCTTCGAGCCTCAGATCCGAAAGGCTGTGAAAGAGGTGAAGGACGACGGACACCCACCGGGTGCGGGGTTGTTTTTGTTCACCAAAGGAGGCTGGAACATGATGGGACCACTTGGAGTGGCTGGGAGGTTGATGCTTGGAAGTGGAGGGTCAGACTTCCATCGCTTTGCTTGTGAAGGTTTTAGGAAAATCTGTGTTTTGCTTGGTGTGCTCGTTGTTGTCTGGAGAACGGCCATGCACACGGCACACGTGTACCATGACTGATTCTCATACACGTTGAGGTCGGTGAGGTGTGACCACCTGCAGGGTCTCCAGGGTCACCTGCAGAACGAAGGAAGAAAACAGAGCGACTCAAAAACGGGCGGCCGAACTGTTCGGCGATCTTCACGTACCGGGTAGAAGGTGGAAACCAAACACTAACATAGAAACTGGATGAAACTGGCAGATGAAACATGACCAGACCTTCCCATACCATTTCGAAGATCTCTCATCGGACAGCGTTTCGACCCTCGAACAGGAAGTCACACAGCGGCAGACCCTCTTCTTCACCGCCACATGGAATACCAATGTTCAGAAGATCGCCAGTGACTTTGTGAACAGGCCCTATCAGGTGCCGGTTTTGGGCGGTTTTCGGCAGATATTCGAAGCGCCTACCCGGTTGTTGAGGACCCCTGCCATCAAATGAATTAGAACATATTAGAACACGAAACTATATTGTAAAAGGATGTAAGAGGAGTGGTGCCTGTAGATGACTGCGTGCCAACTTCCAACAATTTGCTTGGAAATTGATGTCATCGATGTACAGAAGCAGCTAGTAGACTTGAGGATTCGTAGAACATGCCGATGGACAGATGGACATGTTTCGATCTTCTAAGTGAAGGCTGAGATCTGGGCTAAGGTCCCACACAGGTTTCAAGCTTCCCAGGTCGTGGAAGTGAGACAGACAGAGAGAGAGAGAGAGAGAGGGACAAGAAACGGTGTTCCTGTTCAAGGCTGTTGGGGTCGCCAATTCTCGCCCCAAATATCACTATGGCCACTCTCTCTCTCTCTATCTGTTGTGGTTGTCTCTCTTCATTGATATTTATAATTCTTTTTCTATGTATTATAAGTTTTCGTTCTATAATGTTCGATATGTGTGGAGTGTAGCCTCATGTCTCATCTTGTGAATAACATGCGACGGAACCCATGATCTCCTCCTCCAGATGAAGACTCAACCAAAAGCGTATTGTGGACATCGCCAGGTGAAGATTGGAAGCTCGGAGCAGCTGAAGGCTTCGGAGAACATCAAGCAGGTGGTGAAGATTGTGGATCCGGACAAGAAGGTCCGCCATTTGACCAAGCTCTTCCTGGAATATGCTGCTGGGAGAAAAGAATCATTGCAGTCAGGGGAAATGAAGAGGTGGGTAGACTCCGTAGACTTTGTGGGGATTGAAGGTTGCGTGGTTTGGGGCGGTGGATCGATTTGGGTTTTGCTTACGTTGGAGATGGATCCTTTTAACCACAACATGGAGGCTTCATAGGTCGATTCGATGCATTGCAGATCTGTTGGATTTTGATTTGCACGATCCCGCCACGCACTTGGAAGAGATGGGAGGCCTAAAGAGGAGGGGAGGCGCTGGCCCTCCGGAGGGCGGAAGTGGATCAGCGACCTCCGACTCTGACGCCCATGGTTTTGCCAACGGCATGAAAGAGAACCACGGGGCATGATCAGCTGTCCTGGGAATGCACGGGGCATGTCATCAACTGAGGATATCTCCGAGAAGGGCCGGGGTGAAAACCGAGCCATGATTTTCTGCAACACGAAGAAGACCTGCGAGCAGCTGGAAGATGGCCTGAACCGTGCGCGGGTGCGATGTGATTCCATCCATGGTGACAAGGCCCGATGCGAAGGGTCGATGAGTCGAGGAAGGGACAGGTTTAGGGACAGGAAGTGTTTGGATGAGGAAGTGAAAAGACTGTCCCGTTCGTGGTTCCAGAGCGTTTTGAATCAAAGAGCGTTTTGAGTTCTCATTTTCTTGGCTTTGAGATCAGTGGACTTCACTACAGTTTGTGTGCTGGAATCTTTGTCTTTTGACCTTGCAGCAAGGAGCAGAAGGATCGCGAGCGGGCTTTGAATGACCTGCGCGATGGCTACACCAAGATCATCTGCGCCACAGTCAGGGGCTTAGTGACTTAGTGCCCATAGCTGGGAGCCCAGATGATGTTGGTATGCCAGGCCATAGCAAGGCGATTGCGGTTTGTGCCATAGACACAAAGAGCAGTAGTAAGGCCAGGAGCCCCTAGTAGCGTCCTTGCTCCTAGTAGCGATGCCATTTGTTCCCAGTAGCGTCCTTGCTCCTAGTAGTAGGGCCAGGAGCCCCTAGTAGCTTCTTGCTCCTAGGACAAGCTCAGCTGGCCGTGACCCAGACCTCAAGATGTCGGTGCACACGTCGAATGAAATGCAATCGCCTTGCTGAGGATGTGGCTGCCCGTGGTCTTGACGTGAAAGGCGTAACCTTAGTCATCAACTACGACCCCCCGAAGAATGCGGAGGAGGGGTGCCAACTTCCATGAAAGCGTGAGTTTTGCATGAGAGCACGTTGAGGTTTTGGATGGTTTGGAGGGGAGAACACATAGTTCAAGATGTTAGAATCAAATAGAAGCAACATACAGGGTTCACCCACTTCATGGTTTGGGACTTCATAATAGAATCCACCTTCAGAATCCACCTTCCCCCTTGCTCCTTCCATCGCCGGTGGGGGGTACTACGGGCACCGGGCCCGGCCGTTCCAGGACTATGTCCACCGGATCGGGCGGACAGGTCGAGCGGGGATGAAGGGCCACTTGGAGTGCTGAAGGGTGATGTCTTTTCAGTTACTAGTAGCGTCCTTGCTCCTAGTAGTAAGGCCAGGAGCCCCTAGTAGAGCCCTTGCTTGCGATGCCCTTTGTTCTTAGTAGCTTCTTGTTACTAGTAAGAATGCTCCTAGTAGCGATGCCAGGAGCCCCTAGTAGCTTCTTGTATCTTCTTGTTGTCACTGCTTGTGGTTGTTTCAACAAGGAAAATATTGTCACTCCCCCGACGTGTCCATTTTCTTGGGGGGTTGATGTTTGTTTCGCGAAATGGACAAATCACGAAGCATTCGACTACAACCACTCAGACGATCCACGGTTTTTTGGCCCCTGCAAATTCGGAGGGAATGTCGGTGAATGGAGGTCGTTACTACAAGGAACTCGAACAGAAAGGGACGCGACCTGTCCAAGAAGTGGATGAAACCTTTACCTGATAGGGATCCTCAGGGTACAAGAACCATCTATGTTCCTCCTCCCCACCCACTTAAGCATACTCAAGGCGTTTTTTTGATCCAACAGGCTTGGGATGGATTTTCAACGTTAAATATATGATATGACATTATGTTAGCAATCCTCGAACATCTTCAAACTTGAAACCCACGAATGTGATGGATGTTCTTGAGAGGCCTACAGGAAGTGGTTTTCTAGGTTGAAGACCATGAGCAGAACCTGACAAGCACGCCAGCAAGTGCCTTGTAGGCCGTCCATCCAAGGTACTGCAGTCACCTTCCTGACAGATCGGGATGACTTTCAAGCTCGTCAAATCAAGTCAGTGATGCTGCGGAACCACCAAGAGATCCCCCGAGAATTGCAGGCGCTCTCCGATGGCACCCTCCCCCGGC